AAATTTGCCTGCTTACATGCTACCATAGGAAACACCTGCAAGCTTTTGGGAAGACGAACATATGCGGAAAATTGGTGCAGCGATTGCTCAAACCGAAATTATTTTCTGGCCAACCTAATATTTTTCCGTCAATAAAGTAAAGTAACTATCTTGGTGTACGCTGAACAAGCCCACAAAGTTGTTATTCTCATGCTAAGATTTCTAAACAGTCAGACTTGGAAGTTTGAGGTGGTTATATCTAAGAAACTATTTGTGCATAAGTGGAAAGGATAGACTTTTCACTGAAGTTTATTTTAAAGGATTGTTCGGCCAAATTGCTGCTTTGTAGGAAATTTATAATACTGCATTCTTTTTGCATAGCCTATGTTCTATTCGTTCTTTACTTTCCAGCTTGACACTCGTTTTTCTGATGCTGCGCACAACTTTCATGAATGTTCAGAAAAGCTTTACGCACAGTCATGACGGGTGCACATAGTCATCAGTGGAATGCACGCGTGCATATTAATCAACCCAAATGCCTTTTTCGGTTTCGAGAGTGTATTTCATCCATTTAAGAAAATGTTTGTTATAGTACTTGTAAATGTGGTTAGCAGTCAATGTTTGTTCATTTCAAACGAGGTGTGCTCACTCAGCTCAAAACACTTTTAGAGTGAAAAAGAGGAACAGAACTGTCAGTTCCATTCTTCATGCTGCTGAGATTGCTATACAAGTCTTTCTAGCAAGCGCTTTCCGCATGCAGTTCTGTTGTGGCTTCTCCTTTGACAACTCCGAGAGTGACACCAATTCCAACGTCTATGTTGACTGGAGGTGTACCAGTTCGAGCTGCAATGACTAATGGGCCGGACGATGAATGCAACACCCTTCTCAACGTAATCGCTAGCAACGGGAATAGTAACGACGGCATATGTAGGCAATTTCACTTGTTTGTTGTATACCGCAATACAAATTTTTATAGTGTCAAGCCATTTTCTCCAATACCTCAATGATTCAAATTCGCGGTCTCCAAGTTCGACAGGAAACTCTCTACATGCTCCCTTCAATGTGATTACAAGTGTTCCCGCTCGGCCAGATAGCGTTGCCAGCAAGTACGTTTACTTGATGTTCCATTAACAACTGAACGCAAGGGTATTTTTTCAGTAGTTCGAATTCGCTCACGGGTGTGCTATCGCTATCGGCTCCTCCTACAAACGCATTGACAGTGTCACAAACTCCCACAGCCACGTCCCCTACTGTGGATTCAACCACTATCGAAGTGGCGGTGCGTCCATAGGTGAAATTAGTTATTTGTATTGTACAACGTTAATTCTTACCTATTTAAAGGACAATATTCATTGTTCTTTGACCAATAATAAATTAACAGTTGTAGAGGAGGTGAATGAGATATTTCGTTGTTCTTATGGAGTTCTGAGTGTTTAAGTATGAAGCCATTTTCACCGAACGGCTTATCGACCTAGTTTCAACCTTTACCTTTATTGCTATCTACTGTTGAGGGCATTTCTTGCCATGTATACCCTTGAATTTGGATATACTCTGCAAATGTGAGAGGTTTTGCATACTGACGATGTAATGGGTTTCAAACTTTTTTAGGATGATTTCAGGGAACACCTAAGTGGGAGGGGTCCCACATAATGTTTGTACCAGATTATAGGACTCGAAATACTGAGTTCAGTGCTGCCTTCTCAATGTGCGGATAGTTCATTGGAAAAAATCATTTACTAATCTTCATGTACTACGGCTTAGCAAATGAGGTTTAGTATGGGAGATCTTATGAAGTAATCCACGTTGTTCCTTTACCGAAAAGTACTGCAAGACTTTCAGAATCGTGCGAAAATGCAACTTTGGGTCAAAAAATCACGTAGCAGCTTATTTTTGATAGAACCTTCGATTTCACTCGTAGTTAGCGCTTACACTGCTGTTCCTGAATTGTTGCTTTAGCATATTTATCAGAGTTTGTTCAAGATTTTTTGCTGAAGAAATCCATAATTTTCTCCAAAGGAGCATTCTGTAGATAATGGGCGGATTTGCAATCAACCTTACGTGGTTGTATGCATCCTTGAAATGCCACTTCGATATATATGATCTTTTAACAAATGCACTGAGGAATGCACTTCTTTTGGAATTCAAGAGTTCAACACATCATTCTTTAATGGGCCTTGAAGGGCTTTGCTTATATAATCGAATAATGTAGGTTTCATCA